AACAAGACCCCATCTCTACAAAAAATACAAAAATTAGCTGGGTATGGTGGCACGTCTAGTAGTTCCAGATACTCAGGAGGCTGAGGTGGGAAGATCATTTGAGCCTGGGGAGGTCAAGGCTGCAGTGAGTCATGATTGTGCCACTGCACTCCAACCTGGACGACACAGTGAGACCCTGTCTCAGAAAAAAAAAAAAAAACACGCCGGGCGCAGTGGCTCAAGCCTGTAATCCCAGCACTTTGGGAGGCCGAGACGGGCAGATCACAAGGTCAGGAGATCGAGACCATCCTGGCTAACCCGGTGAAACCCCGTCTCTACTAAAAAATACAAAAAACTAGCCAGGCGAGGTGGCGGGCGCCTGCAGTCCCAGCTACTCGGGAGGCTGAGGCAGGAGAATGGCATAAACCCAGGAGGTGGAGCTTGCAGTGAGCTGAGATCCGGCCACTGCACTCCAGCCTGGGTGACAGAGCGAGACTCCGTCTCAAAAAAATAATAATAATAAAAATAAAAAAATAAAAAAAATAAAAAGACCTTGCTCAGCTTCATCTCTCAGAAGCTTCAGGGTCTCCGGCCCTGCAACCTGCAATTTCCTGTGCACGTCACACAGGGCAGGTGTTGCAATCAGTCCTGCATGCCTGTCTGCTGCACACCCAGCCACGGGAAGCTCCTAAGGGCTGAGCCTTTATCTGAGTCACCTAAGTCACTGTCATTCCTACTGATAAGCATCCCTCAGTGCCAGGCCCTGTGCTAAGCATTTTACCTTTATTTCTCATGCCTTCCTTCTTCCGTGCAAACCACATTTATTGAGCACCTACTGTATACCAGGGACCAAGGTAACAGTGGGGGACAGAACTGGCAGAAAACAAACAAACAAAAAAAACCTGTGGTCTAGGGAACTCACATTCTGTTGGGGGAGAAAAGGAACAAATAATTAAACATGTCTATATAGTGGGGTCACAAGATGTAAATGCCTTTTTTTTTTTTTTTTTGAGATGGAGTCTTGCTCTGTCACCCAGGTTGGAGTGCAGTGGTGCTATCTTGGCTCACTGCAACCTCTGCCTCCCAGGTTCAAACGATTCTCCTGTCTCCTGAGTAGCTGGGATTACAGGTGTGCATGACCACACCTGGCTACTTTTGTATTTTTACTAGAGACGGGGTTTCACCATGTTGGCCAGCCCGATGACCTCTGGTTGGTCTTGAACTCCTGACCTCAGGTGACCTGCCCACCTTGGCCTCCCAAAGTGCTGGGATTATAGGCGTGGAACCATCGCACCCAGCCCTCAGAGTCTTGAAGGAATATAAAGCAGGGAAGGGAGATGGGAGGTATGTGGAGGGTAAAGCTGTTTTATTTTATTATTAATTATTAATTTTTTAAGAATTAATTTATATTTATTTATTTATTTATTTATTTGAGACAGGATCTCACTTTGTCATCCAGGCTGGTGTGCAATGACGCGATCTTGGCTCATTGCAGCCTCAACTTCCTGGATTCCAGCGATTTTCCCACGTCAGTCTCCTGAGTGGCTGGACCACAAGTGCACGCCACCACACCCAGCTAATTGTAGTTTTGCTAGAGATGGGATTTCGCCATGTTGGCCAGGCTGGTCTCAAACTCCTGAGTTCAAATGATCCTCCCACCTCGGCCTCCCAAAGTGCTGGGGTTACGGGTATAAGCCACAGTGCCCAGTCTTAGGTTTTAATTTTTGTTCGGTCCATAGTAAGTGTGTGTATTTATGGGGTATGTGAGATATTTTGACACAGGCATGCAACGTGAAGTAGTCACATCATGGAGAATGGGGTTTCCATTCCCTCAAGCATTTATCCTTTGTGTTACAACCCAATCACACTCTTTTAGTTATTTAAAACTGTGCAATTATTATTGAGAATAGTCACCTTGTTGGGTGATCAAATAGTAGGTCTTATTCATTCTATTTTTTTTTTTAACCCATTAACAAAACCAAGGCTGGGCGCGGTGGCTCATGCCTGTATTCCCAGCACTTTGGAACGCCGAGGCAGGTGGATCACTTGAGGTCAGGAGTTCGAGATCAGCCTGGCCAACATGGTGAAACCCTGTATCTGCTAAAAATATAAAAATTAGTCAGGTGTGGTGGTGGGTGCCTATAATCTCAGATACTCAGAAGGCTGAGGCAGGAGAATTGCTTGAACCCAGGAGGCAGAGGTTGCAGTGAGCCGGTATCTCGCCATTGCATTCCAGCCTGGGCGAAACAGCAAGACTCCATCTCAAAAACCAAAAAGAGAAACAAAAAAAGCCCACCCCCTGCAGCCCCCCAGCACCCTTCCCAGCCTCTGGCCACCATCCTTCTACTCGCTGTGTCTGTGAGATCAATTGTTTCGACTTTTAGCTCCCACGAGCGAGTGAGAACGTGCGAGGTTTGTCCTTCTGTGCCTGGCTTATTTCACTGAACTCGATGACCTCGGGTTAGGTGGAGCTGTTTTAAACAAGAGGGTCAGAGAGGGTGGCACTGAGTAAGGACCTGAGGGAGGGGAGAAAGGGAGTCATACAGATCTCTGGGGGAACCGTGTCCCCGGCAGAGGGACCTGCCAGTGCAAAAGTGGGCGGTGAGTCCAATGCAGAGGCCAGTGTGGCTGCAGCAGAGTGGGCGAGGGGGGTGATTGAAGGGGATGAGGACAGAGGGGTGACGGGGTAAAATCGTCTGGGGCCTCGTGGACCTGAGACGGAACCATGGGAGATCTGTGAGCCGGGGCGGATGTGATCTGATGCAGGTGTTCACAGGTGCCTTTGGTTGTGTGTGGGGAACAGACTCCAGGGACAAGGAGGGAATCCAAGGAGTCTGTAGGAAATGAGTGTAGACAGGACCAGGGTGGGACCTTTGGGGTGGCAAAAGTGTAGAGAGTCTAGATTGACCCAGGCGTGGTGGCTCACGCCTGTAATTCTAGCACTTTGAGAGACCGAGGCAGGCGGATCACCTGAGGTCAGGAGTCTGAGATCAGCCTGGCCAACACGGTAAAACCCCGTCTTTACTAAAAATACAAAAATTAGCCAGGAGTTGAGGCAGAAGAATGGCATGAACCCGGGAGGCGGAGCTTGCAGTGAGCCGAGATTGCGCCACTGCACTCCAGCCTCGGCGACAGAGCGAGACTCCGTCTCAAAAAAAAAAAAAAAAAAAAAATTAGCCAGGAGTGATGGCACGCTCCTGTAATCCCAGCTACTTGGGAGGCTGAGTCAGGAGAATTGCTTGAACCTGGAAGGCAGAGGTTGCAGTGAGCTCACACCACTGCACTCCAGCCTGAGCGACAAGAGTGAAACTCCTTGTCAAAAAAAAAAAGGAGTTTAGATCCATTTCGAAGGCAAGGCAAACAGGATTTTCTAGACACTTGGATGTGGAGCATGAGAAAAAGAGGAATCAAGGTAGATCCCAAGGCTTTCAATCTCATTTAACCCCAAGGCAGCCTCACAGAATATTATCATTCTTGGGTTACAGATGAAGAAACAGATTCAGAGAGGGTTGCCGACTTGCCCATGGTCACACAGGAATTGGCGGAGCTGGGATTTGAACCAGTTTCTGTTTGACACCAGTGTCCAATCTCTGCCCTCTGTGGAGGCTGCCACCTCCCGGCATGTCCACAGCCTCACCCAGCCCAGGACAGGGCATGCCAGGCCCACACAGGGCACCAGTTCAGTCAGTGGCCACAGAACTCCATGACCGTCCAGCTTGTGACCTCACGGTCTTGGCCCGGCCCACCACGGGATTCTCTCACTGCTCATCACCTGTGTTGAGTAACTGTGTTTCCCTGGCTGCCTGCGAGCTCCCAGAGGGCATGACTGTAGCCGATTCATCACTGTCCCTGGCATTGCCTGGCCGGAGCCTGGCATGTAGTGGCCTTCATTAAGGCAATCAATATTTATTAAGCATCTATCTTGTGCTGGGCAATGCTGGGACGCAGCTCTGGGCCCCGTCCTTCTGAGGTTGAAGTCTAGTGGGGGAGTCAGAGAGACCTATCTCCAGACAGTGATGGCCTAGAATGGGCAGGACTGGAACTGCAGGGGAGCCCAGAGTCCCCAGCCCAGCCTGAGTAGGGGCCTGGGAGGATTTGGCAGAGGTGTCGAACTCAGGGTCACCACCCTCACAGACTTAGCCTTGTGGGTGTAGACAGCCAATGAACAAGTTAACCAATCAAGGAGAGAATTACAGATGGAAGTAGAATGGGGAAGGGGCAGGCAGCCACACAGGATATTTTTGCTGGGGTCAGCAGAGAAGGCCTCTGAGGAGGGGACACCGAGGTTGAGACCTGAGGTTGAGAAGGTGCCAGCCTGGGATGAGCTGGGGAGAGGGCACACAGGGGGCAGACAGCCAGCGCCCAGGCCCCGCAGTGAGAAAGAGCTGGCTGTGTTCCAGCAACGGCTAGGAGTCCTGCATGCCTTGGGCCAAGTGAGGGGTGGGTGGGAGGGAATAAAATCTGCGGAGGCAGAAACCGCGCCCCGTGATGGGGGAATAGATAGATCTCAGGTCATCCGGCAGGGCTGGGAGCCCGCAGGTCCCAGGGCAGCCGTCAGCCCTGGGGCCTTTACCTGTGACTCGTGGAGTCTGACCACTTCCTTCACCTGCTCAGAGCCTCCTCTGGCTCCACCCAAAGTCCTCACCGTGGCCTGTAAGGCCCCGTAAAAGCTGTCCCCACCATTGCCCTGTCCTCAAGCTCGGTCTCCCTCTCACTTCTCCCTGCTCCAGCCACAGTGGCCTCCTCGTGGACACTCCAACAGGGCACGCACGTTTCCTTGTTTTATTTTTCTCTTTTTAAAACTTTTTTATTTACATATATTTTTTGAGACAGGGTCTTGCTCTGTTGCCCAGGCTGGGGTGCAGTGGCGCAATCGTGGCTCACTGCAGCCTCAACCTCCTGGGCTCAAGCCATCCTCCCACCTCAGCCCTCTGGGCAGCTGGGACTACAGGCACACACCACCATGCCCAGCTAATTTTCGTATTTTTGGTAGAGACAGGGTTTCGCCGTGTCAGCCAGGCTGGTCTCAAACTCCTGGGCTCGAGTGATCCGCCCGCCTCAGCCTCCCAAAGTGCTGGGACTACAGATGTGAGTTACTGTACCTGGCCAGCCAGGCACATTTCTGTCTCAGGGCCTTTGCACTGGCTATTCCTCTGCCTGGAACGCTCTTTCCCCAGATGTCTGCCCACTTGGCTCCTTCCCCACCTCCTTCAGATCAAATGTTGCCCTCTCAGTGAGATCCCCCTGAAAACTGCAACCACTCCTTCACTGTCCCTGCATTTTCTATGCACAAATCGCCATTTAACCAACTCATTTATCGCGGTTTTTGTCCAACTCTCTGGTTAGGGTGTCAGCTCTGTGACGGCCGAGATCTCTGTCTTGTAAATGGCTGTCTCTCCAGCTCTGAGAACAGAGCCTGGCACATGGTAGATGCTGGATAAATTATGATTCAATAAATAAAAGATGGGAAAGAAAGAAAAGAGAGAGGGAAGGAACTGGCAACTCTGTCGGCTCTCGCGGTTCGTCATCTGTCCTAGCTGGGAGGCAAGAGTGTTAACACGTCTCCTCTTCCCGGATAAGAGGGTGCCAGGCTGGGAAACTGAGGCACGAAGGGACTCTCGGTAGCAGTCCTGAAGCAGTGAAGCAGGAGCCAGGCTTCAGACCAACTCTCAATGCTGCGCTCAGAAGAAAAAGTCCCCGACACCACCTGCTGGTGAGTAGCGTCATGACGGTTGTGGCCACCTTGCTGACGGAAGGCTGGTGATGCCCTTGCCCGGTGGGCAGGACAGGAGGCAGCCCAGGGGTATCCCCGGAAGATACGCAGAGTCCATGGAGCCACGGCTTAAGCCTCTTGATGCCTGAAGGCCTGTGGGCACCTCGCCCGATCAGAGCTATGCAGGAGGGTGGTGCCCTGCCAGCAGAGACCTGCTCTGTGTCACTCTGTGCCCGCACACCTGCCCTCCCTCCACAGCCAGCCAGGACTCCCATCTCTCCAGGAGGGAACAGCTGCCCCAGCTCCATAGGGCTGCATGCACCCTACATGGGGCCTCTGGAGGGCAGGGGAGTCAGAGCCCACCCAAATCCCCACCCAGGCCTGGGCAGTTTCTGGTCACAGCAGCCAAGGCAGCAAAACGTAGGCTTCTGGAGGAGAGCTGCCCCCATCCCTAGAGATACATCCTCCGGCCAAACAGGGGTCTCACCACCCAGACATCATCTACGATCTTCCCATCCTGTGAGGGACAAAAACAGGGACAGTAGTTAGAGCTGAAAGCCTGAACTCTGGGGCCAGATGGCCTGGGTTCCAGTCCCCTCTTTGCCCTCTGATGGGCTGTACAACCCCGAGCAAGTGGCTAGACCTCTCTGGGCCTCAGTTTTCCTCATCTGAAAAGTGGTGGGGAGAGTAACAGTACCCACATCATAGATGTTGTGGGAGTTAAATGAGATAGTATGTGTAAACAGAGCCCAGCATATGGAAAGGGCTATGTAAGTGGAGGCTATTCTTAGAGCACAAACTCTGGAGTGAGACAGACCTTACTTTATATTCCAGCACATCCACTCTTTTCCTCTCTCTCTCTTTTTTTTTTTTTTTTTTGAGACAGAGTCTTGTGGTGTCACCCAGGCTAGAGTGCAGTGGCACGATCTTGATTCACTGCCAAACCTCTGCTTCCCAGGTTCAAGCCATTCTCCTGCCCCAGCCTCCCGACCAGCTGGGATTACAGGCACGCACCACTACGCCTGGCTAATTTTTGTATTTTTTACTAGAGACAAGGTTTCACCATGTTGGCCAGGCTGGTCTTGAACTCCTGACCTCAAGTGATCCACCTGCCTCAGCCTCCTAAAGTGCTGGGATTACAGGCATCAGCCACTGCGCCTGGCCAGCACATCCACCCTCTATGTGGCCTTAAGCATGTGGCTGGAATCTCTGAGCATATGCGATGCACAAAGTAATAGATGCCCAGAGTCATGGCAAGAACTGAGTGAGATCATGCACACAAAGCCTGCGCCCGGTGCATGCGCCACTTGATAAATGGTAGCTATGGGATCCCAGCTCGGCTGTCCTCCAGCTGTGTGACCCTGGGAAAATTACTTTCCCTCTCTGAGCCTCAGTTCCCTCACCTATAAAATGAGAGGAAATCCACTCCTATGAGATTGTTTTGGTGTATAAAGTGCTACTGGAGCCGGATGCGGTGGCTCACACCTGTAATCCCAGCACTTTGGAAGGCCGAGGCGGGCGGATCACCTAAGGTCAGGAGTTCAAGACCAGCCTGGCTAACATGGCGAAACTCTGTCTCTACTAAAAATACAAAAAATTAGCCGGGTGTGGTGGCATGTGCCTGTCATCCCAGCTACTCGGGAGGCTGAGGCAGGAGAACTGCTTGAACCTGGGAGGTGGAAGTTGCAGCGAGCTTAGATTGCACCACTGCACTCTAGCCTGGGCAACAGAGTGAGACTCTGTCTCAAAAATAAATTAATTAATTAATTTAATTTAATGCTACTAAATACAGAGCATCTAGGCAGTGCCTGGTATGCAGTAGGTGCTCAATAAATCATAAATATTATCTTTTTTAAAAAACTACAATGGCAAAAATAAAGAAAGGTGAGCCATTATTATTTGGGTCCACCTAACCTTCAGCCAGCCCTACCACATACCCATCTTATTATTTCCCCCCACCTGTGTGCCACCCTGCCATCTTTATCTTCCCCTGCCTCACAATGGGAAATACCTACAAAATTTACCAAGTTCTGCACTATTCTAAGCATTTTATATATAATAAGTCCTTCAACCCCCACGTAGTCCTGTGAGGTGGAAACTATGATCATCCCCTCTCACAGACGGGAAAACTGAGGCTCAAAGAAGTTAGGTAAGTGGGCCCAGCATGGTGGCTCACGCCTGTAATCCCAGGACTTTGGGAGGCTGAGGTGGGCAGATCACTTGATGTCAGGAGTTCGAGACCATTCTGGCCAACATGGTGAAACCCCGTCTCTACTAAAAATATGAAAAATTAGCCAGGTGTGGTGTTGGGCACCTGTGATCCCAGCTACCCGGGAGGCTGAGGTAGGAGAATTTCCTGAACCTGGGAGGTAGAGGTTGCAGGGAGCAGAGATCGTGCCACTACACTCCAGCCTGGGCGACAGAGCGAGACTCCGTCTCAAAAAAAAAAAATTAGATGAGTGGCTCAAGGTCATTCAGCTGGTAAGTAGCAGGAGCAGGTTTCTAGTTCTACAGTCCACATTTGTTTGTTTTTTTGTTTTGAGTTAGGGTCTCACTATGTTGCCCAGGCTGGAGTACAGAGGCGAGATCATAGCTCACTGCAAACTCTAACTCCTAGGCTCAAGTGATCCTCTGCCTCAGCCTCCCAAGTAGTTGGGACTACAGACTTCTGCCACCACACTTGGCTAATTTTCGTTTTTGGTTTTTTTTCCCAAGACATTCTGTCTCCCAGGCTGGAGTGCAGTGGTGCCATCTCGGCTCACCGCAACCTCCACCTCCCGGATTTAAGTGATTCTCCTGCCTCAGCCTCCCATGTAGCTGGGATTACAGGCACCTGCCACCACGGGGAGCTAATTTTTGTATTTTTAGTAGAGACAGGATTTCACCATGTTGGTCAGGCTGGTCTCTAACTCCTGACCTCAAGTGATCTATCTGCCTCGGCCTCCCAAAGCGCTGGGATTTCAGGTGTGAACCAGCACACCTGGCCTAATTTTTGTATTTTTTGTAGAGACTAGGTCTCACCATGTTACCTAGGCTGGTCTTGAACTCCTGGACTCAAGCAATCCTTGTGCCTTAGCCCCACCAACTTGCAGGTATTGCAGGCATGAGCCACTGTGCCCGGCCGAGTCCATGTTTTTAACAACTCATTTGCCTGGCAGGGCCTGGCTGTGCAGTCAGATGAGTCGGGCCTGCCCCTCACTGACCTGGTCGTCCGACACCTGCTGGATGTGGATGTGGGTCCCGTTGAGGATGTGCAGCCGGGTGTACCCGTACTCCTTCACACGCACGGCACTCCAGGGCCTTGGGAAGACAGCAAAGGGCGTCAGCCGCTCCTCACAGCCCTGGGAAGGGAGACCTGGTCAGACCCAGGGCAGGTGGAGGACCCGCAAGCAAGCAGAAATGACCTGCCAGCCCAGGACCCTGCTGCCCTCAAGGAAGACAGTTAAGACTTGGCCATAGAGACCAGGCCCGGTGGCTCACGCCTGTAATCCCAGCACTTTGGGAGGCCAAGAACGACAGATCAATTGAGGTTGGGAGTCAGAGACCTGCCTGGCCAACATGGTGAAACCCTGTCTCTACTAAAAATACAAAAATTAGCCTGGTGTGGTGGCGGACAACTATAGTCCCACCTACTTGGGAATCTGAGGCAGGACAATTGCTTGAACCTGGGAGGCGGAGGTTGCAGTGAGCCAAGATCATGCCACTGCACTCCAGCCTGGGCAACAGAGTGAGACTGTCTCAAACAAAAACAAAAACAAAAAGACTTGGCCACAGTAATGCTTTGCAATTGAACATTTTGTCCTGGGCAGGCTTCCCTACTCCAGGTCTCTGACTTCTAGAAAACTACACAGCTGTGTAAGACTCTGCCCACTACAGCATTACAGTAAAAGCTCTGAACCGGAAGCCATCCCAACGCCCATCAGGGAGTCAGCTAAATACGTTATAGCATAGCCATCGCAAAGCAGGGAAGTGGGGTGAGACAGAAAGATGGCCAAGATTGTGTGTGAATGGGAAAAAGTAATTCGAAAAACAGAGAAATCACTGGATCTGAAGCCTGGCTGCACAGCAGCCCCTCCAAGAAAGCTTTTTAAAACACCAACGCCTGGGGAAACAGAATGCTCATGCTTGCCGCAGAAAAGCCAGGCTTGAGGAGCAGAGAGGATGCCAGAGCAAGGAAATTCACCATTTTGCACCCAGCATTGTAATACCAGATTGAAGCAAGGATCATGAAAGGATGATAAAACTAGCAGGGAAAGTTTGAGGCATAACAGGACGTTTGCATAGTCTCAAAGTATCTCTCCAGGAGATGCTTGTTAATTACATAGGAAAACAGAGAGTCACTTTATGGTGGAGAGGGCTGGCAGACACCTCCCTAACCGAGTGATCAAAGTGAGTATCATCAGTAATGAGACCCATCCATACCACACTTTCAGCTGAGAAATCAGAGGCTCAAAGAGGTTAGAAAGACATCGTGCAGCCGGGTGCGGTGGCTCATGCCTGTAATCCCAGCACTTTGGGAGGCCGAGGCGGGCAGATCATGAGGTCAGGAGATCGAGACCAGCCTGGCCAACATGGTGAAACCCTGTCTCTACTAAAAATACAGTAATTAGCCGGGTGTGGTGGCGCAGGCCTGTAGTCCCAGCTACTCAGGAGGCTGAGGCGGGAGAATCACTTGAACCCAGGAGGCGGAGGTTGCAGTGAACCAAGATCTCGCCACTGGACTCCATCCTGGGTGACAGAGCGAGACTCCGCCTGAAAAAAAAAGAAAAAGAAAGAAAGGAATGAAAGAGACAAGACACCTAATTACAGCACGTGATGTCAGATCCTGGGCTGGTGCCCGGGGGGAAAAATCTTTGCTTTGATTTAAAAGACACCAAGGGGACTACTGGCTAAACTTGAATAAGGTCTGTAGAGTAGATAATAGTATATTATCAATGTTAACTTCTTGAATTTGAATTTGATAATTATACTGTGATGATATAAGGTTTTTTTTTTTTTTTTTTTTTAAGGAAATACAGAGAAAGTGGTAAAGGGGCATCATGTCTGCAACTTGCTCTTGATTAGACCTGAAAATAAGACTAAAATGGAGAGAGAAAGACATTAAAACAAATATGTTTAGCTAAGCACAGTGGCTGACACCTGGAATCCCAGCACGCTGGGAGGCCAAGGCAGGAGGACTGCTTGACGCCAGGAGTTCAAGACAAGCCTGGGCAACATAGCAAGACCCTGTCTCTACAAAAAGTAAAAATTAAATTAAAAAAAATTAGCCAGGCATGCGTATAGTTCCAGCTACTCAAGAGGCTGAGTCAGGAGAATGGTTTGAGCCCAGGAGTTGGAGGCTGCAGTGAGCTATGATGGAGCCACTGCACTCCAGCCTAGGTGCCAGAGCTGGCCCCATCTCTTATTTTTTTCTTTAAAAATGTGGTTAAGCCGGGCACGGTGGCTCACGCCCGTAATCCCAGCACTTTGGGAGGCCAAGGTGGGTGGATCATCTGAGGTCGGGAGTTTGAGACCAACCTGACCAATATGGAGAAACCCCATCTCGGCCGGGCGCAGTGGCTCACGCCTGTAATCCCAGCACTTTGGGAGGCCGAGGTGGGCGGATCACAAGGTCAGGAGATCGAGACCATGGTGAAACCCCGTCTCTACTAAAAAAAAAATACAAAAAATGAGCCGGGCGCAGTGGCGGGCGCCTGTAGTTCCAGCTACTCGGGAGGCTGAGGCAGGAGAATGGCGTGAACCCAGGAGGCGGAGCTTGCAGTGAGCCAGGATCACGCCACTGCACTCCAGCTTGGGTGACAGAGCGAGACTCCGTCTCAAAAAAAAAAAAAAAAAAAAAGAAACCCCATCTCTACTAAAAATACAAAATTAGCCAGGTGTGGTGGCGCACGCCTGTAATCCCAGCTACTTGGGAGGCTGAGGCAGGAGTATTGCTTGAACCCGGGAGGCGGAGGTTGCAGTGAGCAGAGATCACGTCAATTGCACTCCAGCCTGGGCAACAAGAGTGAAACTCCATCTTAAAAAAAAAAAAAAAAAAGTGGTTAAATGTTCATTTTTAGGAAATCTTGGTGAAGTGGATATGGAAAGTCCTTGTATTGTTAGTGCAACTTTACTGTTGGTCTGAAATAATTTCAATTTTTTTTTAAATTTTTTATTTTTGAGACAGAGTTGCGCTCTTGTCACCCAGGCTGGAGTGCAATGGCGTGATCTTGGCTCACTGCAACCTCTGCCTTCTGGGTTCAAGTGATTCTCCTGCTTCAGCCTCCTGAGTAGCTGAGATTACAGGTGCCCGCCACCACGCCCAGCTAATTTTTTGTTTTTAGTAGAGACGGAGTTTCGCCATGTTGGGTAGGCTGGTCTCAAACTCCTGACCTCAGGTGATCCTCCCGCCTCAGCTTCCCAAAGTGTTGGGATTACAGGCGTGAGCCACCGCGCCCGGCCTCAAATTTTTTAATTAAAGAAAAAAACCAATTTGTGCTGATAAAATCAGAATAGCAATCACCCATGGGCAGAGCCTGACTGCCAAGGGCCGTGAGAAGCCATCTGGTGCTGACAGCATTCTATTTCGTGCTCCACGTGGCAGCTACTCTGGGAGATCAATGCCAGGGATTCTGGTATTTTGACCAGGGTCAGGACCAAGCATTGCAGTTTTAAAAGCTCCCCAGGTAATTCTGATGTGCACCAAGTTTGAGAACCACTGGGGCATGACCCACAATCTAAGTGGTTTTTGTTTTTGTTTTTTAAAGTAAGCAATACAGTAACATGTCTCTATCTAAACAATTACTCATTTGTATATGCAGAGAACATTATAAAATGCCTCAAGAGAGTTAACAGCTGAGAGTGGGACAATGTGCGGTGTGAGTGGCTGCTGTTCACCTCCTGCTCTCTGTAACTGTTTGAATTTTTATTACAAGTGATTGTTACTTTTATATATATACATATATATATAAAAAATATTAATAATTGGTTTTGTCATGTTGCCCAGGCTGGTCTCAAACTCCTAGACTCAAGCGATCCACCCATCTCAGCCTCCCAAAGTGCTGCGATTACAGGCGTGAGCCACCGCACCCTGCCTCACTTTGCTCTTAATCATTTATAAGCAGCAGCTTTGGAAGGCCAAGCAGGGGAATTACTTAAGCCCAGGAATTCGAGATCAGCCTGGGCAACATAGTGAGACTGTCTCTATTAAAAACACTTTTGTTTTTGAGATGGGGTCTCGCTCTGTCCCCAGGCTAGAGTGCAGTAGCACAATCTCAGCTCACTGCAGCTTCGACTTCTTGGGCTCAAACGATCCTCCCACTTTGGCCTCCCAAGTAGCTGGGACTACAGGTGTGCACCGCCATGCATGGCTAAATTTTGTATTTTATTAAATAGAGACTGGGTTTCACCATGTTGCCCAGACTGGTCTCGAACTCCTGACCTCAAGCAACCTGCCCGCCTCGGCCTCACAAAGTGTTGGGATTACAGGCGTGAGCCACTGTGTGTGGCCAAACTTTTTTAAATTAAATTAAAAAATTAAAAACTAAGCCTCGCTCCATGGAGAAGGGGTAGATTCCAAGGCTGAGCAGAAAAAACACAGGATGATCCTGGAATGTTTTGAAGTGCCAGAGAATAAGGAGGGGACGAGTGGAAAGGAGACAGGAGCCCACTGATGGCCGCAGCCGGCACAACCTAAACATCCAGATAAATAACAGTCGTGTTGGATAATAACCCGCAGAGTAAAATAAATTACCCATGAGTTCACACAGACATAAATAAACAATTAACCAACTAAACAAATGTGGCAGAAGACACAAGTCAGCCTTGCAGGAGGATCTCAATTAATAAATCTTGGAAGAGTGAGGGCAACAGAAAATCCCCATTAGAACGGCACAGTAAGCCTGGGCGCAGTGGCTCTCGCCTGTAATCCCAGCACTTTGGGAGGCCAAGGTGGGCCGATCACCCGAGGTCAGGAGTTCAAGACCAGCCTCGCCAACATGGTGAAACCACATCTCTACTAAAAATACAAAACTTAACCGGGCATGGGGGTGGGCATTTATAATCCCAAGTACTCGAGAGGCTGAGGCAGGACAATGACTTGATCCCAGGACGTGGAGGTTGCAGTGAGCCGAGATCGCGCCACTGCACTCCAACCTGGGCAACAAGAGTGAAACTCCGTCTCAAAAAAGGAAGGAAAGAAGGAAGGAAGGAAGGAAGGAAGGGAGGGAGGGAGGGAGGGAGGGAGGAAGGAAGGAAGGGGGGGACGGACGGAGGGAGAGAGGGAGGAAGGGTTCTCATTAGAACAGTTTAGTAATAACTGTTGCAGGCAGGGTCCGCTAATGGGTTCTAAAATAAGAGGGTGAAAGTTTGAGGAGAAACGGGACATTTGGGCCAAGTACACCTGTAATCCTAGCACTTCGGGAGGCCGAGGCAGGCAGATCACTTGAGGTCAGGAGTTTGAGACCAGCCTGGCCAACATGGTGAAATCCCATCTCTACCAAAAGTACAAAAATTAGCCAGAAATCTCTTGAACCAGGAGGCGGAGGTTGCAGTGAGCTGAGATCATGCCACTGCACTCCGGCCTGGACAACAGAGCGAGACCCCCATCTCAAAAAAAAAAAAAAAAAAAAGATAGTTGTTTTGTTTTGTTTGTTTAGAGACGGGATCTGGCTTTGTCACCTAGGCTACAGTACAGTACAGTACACAGTACAGTACAGTGATCATAACTCACTGTAGTATCTTCCTGTCTGTGCTCTGTTCCTGGATCTATCCAATGGGCATGCTGCTAGGAGTTTCTGACCTTAGGGCTGAGGGTTAAGTGATATCCACTGTATAAAGCACCCACCACTCAGGCTGGAACGAAGTCAGCCCTCCATGGATAGAAAGAGAGAGAGAAGGCAAAGGCACCCGTCCCCCTGCTCACGGCAGATCCTGTGATGATGTGGACAGGTCCTCGCGGGTTCGTGTAGGGCATCTCTCCGCTGCCGTTAAATACCTGGGGAAGGGAACAACGTTGGGTGGCGGGCAGTCACACGAGGCCATTCTGGGGACATCTGACCACCCTGACCCCAGCTGCGTGGGCGCCCAGCCCTCCATGTGCCTCACCTGGTAGTTGTAAATTGGCCACAGTCGTTCATACGAGTGCTCATGAGCCCACAGCTGCAGATCCACTCCTGAGACAGAGCAAGCAGGGATCAGACCTCTGAATCGGGCAGAGGTGGGGTGTGGGGCATGGGTCCCAAGGGTTGCTCACCGTATTTGTAGAAAAGATCCTCCAAACCATACAGCTTGCCTTGGAGGCCTTTGCGGACCTGGGTAGGTGAATGAGTGGGTGAGGGTGACGCAGACCGACGCGCACCTGGCTCTCGGCACCTCCCCACCGTCTCCCAGGGAGGGGCCTCACCTTGCTTTCATGTCGTGTGCAGTCGTCCAGATCTGCGTTGGAGCAGTACATGGGCCGGTGCCCCATGGTGATGATCCACGGCCGGGCTGCCCGGTTCTTATTGGCTTTCTAGGGAGAAGGGCCCAGGGTGAGGGGCTAGGAGTGGGGGGTGGAGGGGGAGGTGGGGCCAGCCGGGGGACTACAGGGGGCCTCCACCCAGGTTACCTGGAGGTCGCTCTCCAGCCAGCGAAACTGCCTCTGTACCAGGTGGCGGCCGTAATGGAGAAAGAAATAGACCTCGGTGGAGAAGGAGATGATGTGGGCGGGACCCAGATCCCAGCTGGAGGAGTCAAAGGGCAGGGGTCAGGGACTGGGGCTCCTCTGCATCTCCCATCTTTCAGGGGAGAGGGCCAGTCCCCCGGCACCTGCACATTACCTGTACCACAGGCCCTCATTATCCCCTGGCATGCTGAAGCGAGCCTTGTAGTTAGAGAAGTTGCTAGAATAAAGGAAGTACAAGGGATGGAGGTGAGGGACTGAATATCATAGCCCTACTCCTATACCCTGCCACTGTCGGGCCCTGAGTCTGGCTTCCAGTCCACCCCCATCTCCTCTTGCTACAATTGAAATGTTGCAGCATGAGAGACTCAAAGGAGACACTAAGAAGAATGAGACTGTTTCCATTGATCCAGCCCTTGCCCACCGCCACAACCCTCGGTCCTCACTAGCGTTCTTCGTGGTTCCCGGGGCATGTCATGTACGGCAGGCTGGCAGCCACAGGTTCAATGAGCCGCATAAACCTATCCCCGACGCGGGCATTGTCCTGATCCATGTTGTAGGCAAAGTCTCCTGGGGGAGGGGGCGGAAGGAGGGTGAGGACCCAGGCCCAGCTCTGCTTTCATTGGAATTGAGAGAGCCAGGTTAGTCCCAGCACTTTAGGGGGCCAAGGCAGGAGTATCACTTGAGCCTAGGAATTCAAAACCAGCCTCCCAAAGTGCTGGAATTACAGGTGTGAGCCACTGTGCCTGGCCAAGATGGCTTTTGTTTGTTTGTTTTTGTTTTCTTTGTTTCTTTTTTTTTTTTTTTTTGTGAGACGGAGTCTCCTGCTGCTGCCCAGACTAGTGTGCAGTGGTGCCATCTTGGCTCACTGCAACCTCTGCCTCCCAGGTTCAAGCGATTCTCCTGCCTCAGCCTCCCAAGTAGCTGAGATTACAGACACACGCCACCACACCTGGCTAATTTTTGTAGTTTTAGTAGAGATGGAGTTTCACCATGTTGGCCAGGCTGGTCTCGAACTCCTGACCTCAAGTGATCCACTTACCTTGGCCTCTCAAAGTGCTGGAATTACAGGCATGAGCCACCGCGCCCGGCCCAACATTAGTATTATTATTATTCCTATTTCAGATGGGGAAACTGAGGACCCAGGTCACACAGCTGGCTAGTGAAGATGTAGAAATAAAACCTAGGGAGCCTGATTCCAGCGCCTGCACTTTGAAACATACAATCCCCAATCCCCATTACCCATCTCATTCTCTTCCCCCTCTTAAATAAAAACAGCAGCAATAATAACAACAGCACAAGGACACCGAAGTGCACCTGCACCCTGCCAGGCAACGCGAACTCACGTAGTCATCATAACAGTCCTGCGAACTCGGAACCAGCTTTCTCTCTAATCAAAATACACGGGGGAAAAACCCCTGCTCCTGGCAAGAGTGCCAGAGTTGGGATTTTAACCAAGGCAGGCTGGTTGGCCACAGACACCATCTCCGTAGCCAGTCTCATCCCCTGTCCCTTCAGAGACACACTGGCCCCAGCCCTGTCCCCTCCACGGTCCTGGCACCGCCCCCCACCCGCGCTCCCCACACCGCCCCCCACCCGCGCTCCCCACACCATCCCTCCGCGTGCGCGCTGACCACCATCCTTCCGCTCGCCCCTGCGGATGCCTCACCCACATGGAGAACGGCGTCGTACATGCCCTGCTGGGTGTCCCTGCGCAGCCGCGGTAAGGCCTTCGGGTTGTCAGCCCCCAGGTCCCCAAACACAGCCAGGCGGGGACTCCAGTGGGCCCCATTCTTGAGGGCTCTGAAGCGGAACCGACGGCTCCAGCCTTGCGCACTGCCACAGCGATAAACTGAAGGGAGAGGAAAATGTCGCAGTCAGCTGGGCCGCCCCAGGACGCTCCCTCCAATCCCATCCTTCCCCAACTGGTGGAGGGGAGGAGATGGGGGGACTGGTTGGGGCTGGCCCATGCCCCTTCGATCTGCCTTCCCCGCACCTTCTGTTTTCATCCTGGGGTCTCATACAATAGGCTTGCAGATAGGCAGAGGAGTTACCAGCCCGGCCTGAGCCACCGGCCAGTGGTAGCTTCTAGTCTGTATCCCACTCCTCTTCCCATTCCCCCTCAAGAGCTCAACCTGGGGGCCCTCTCACCATACTGAACCCCCGGCAGCAGCTTGCGAAGCGTGACTCGGTGTATGTAGAGCTTCCGCCGGAGAATGCCCCCGTCCACAAAGGGGACGAAGGTGCCTTGGGCATGGAGGGGCAGAGGCCCCGACGGCTGCAACCCGAATTGCACTTCAGAGCGGGTTGGGACCCATGTGGTCCAGGTTACAGTCATGGAGCCTGGCTCACCTGGGGAGAAAGGGACAGAGGATAGACCAGGAGTGAGGCCTGGGCAGGGTGGTAGGGATGTGCAGAAAAAGTGAGGGGCGTTGACCACTGATGAACAGTTAGTAGTTAAGGAGACAGGTTCTGGAACTGCCCAAGTTCAATCCCAGCTCTGCCATTTCTTCTTCTTCTTCTTCTTTTTTGAGTCGGGGTCTCACTTTGCTGCCCAGGCTGGAGTACAGTGGTGCCATCTCAGCTTACTGCAACCTGTGCCGCCTCCCAGGTTCAAGCGATTCTCCTGCCTCAGCCTCCCGAGTAGCTAGGATTACAAGCATGTGCCACCATGCCTGGCTAATTTTTGCATTTTTAGTAGAGATGTAGTTTTGCCATGTTGGCCAGACTGGTCTTGAACTCCTGACCTCAGGTGATCCACCCACCTTCGCCTCCCAAAGTTCTGGGATTACAGGCATGATCCAGCTCTGCCATTTCTAAGCTGAGCTTCCCTGGGGCACATCACTTCACCTCTCTGAGCCTCAGTTTTCCTGTCTGTAAAATGGAAAAATAATAGTTTCGCGCTATATGGTTGTTATGAGGCTTAGATGAATAAATATAAGTAAAGCAAATGAAATAGTGCCTAGTACACTTAGGGTTATATGGGGGAACGAGTATTATTATTAATATCATTATTTACTGTGTGCAGGTCTTGTACCAACTATTGTACACACATGATGTCATTTAAAGGTTGCCAGCTTGGGTGTCTGGAGGCCACAGGTGATCTAAAGAGAGACAAGGGCCACCTGTAAGTGAGCAAGGAGTTACAGAGCATGTAGCCAACTGTAGACTCTGCCCTATCTCAAAGGGGCAGCCATCACTCAGATCTGGCGATAGCCACCAAGCAAGCAGGAAACGGGCCCAGTACTAGCAAAGCTATTGACTTTTCTTTTTTCTCGGAGATAGGGTCTCACTATGTTGCCCAGGCTGGAGGTGCAGTGGTGCCATCTTTGCTTACTGCAGCCTTGGCCTCCTGGGCTCAAGCTATCCTCCTGCCTCAGCCTCCCAAGAAGCTGGGACCACAGGCACATGCCACCATGCCCAGTTAATTTTTTTTTTTTTTTTTTTTGAGGAGGAGTCTTGCTCTGTTGCCCAGGCTGAAGTGTGATGGCACAATCTCAGCTCACTGCAACCTCCGTGAGATGGTTTGGCTTTGTGTCCCCACCCAAATCTCATCTTGAATTGTACTCCCATAATTCCTATGTGTTGTGGGAGGGACCAGTGGGAGATTGTTTGAATCAAGGGGGCAGTTTTCCCCATACTGCTCTCATGGTAGTGAATAAGTCTCATGAGATCTGATGAGTTTATCAGGGGTTTCCACTTTTGCTTCTTCCTCATTTTCTCTTGCCACCGCCATGTAAGAAATGCTTTTCACCAGCTGGGTGTATTGGCTCATGCCTGTAAACCCAGCACTTTGGGAGGCCGAGGTGGGCGGATCACGAGGTCAGGAGATCGAGACCATTCTGGCCAACATGGTGAAACCCCATCTCTATTGAAAATACAAAAATTAGCTGGGCATGGTGGCGTGCACCTGTAGTCCCAGCTATTTGGGAGACTGAGGCAGCAGAATTGCTTGAACCAGGGAGACAGAGGTTGCTGTGAGCCAAGATCACGCCACTGCATTCCAGCTTAGCAACAAAGCAAGATTCTGTCTCAAAAAAAAAAAAGAAAAAAGAAATGCCTTTCACCTCTGCCATGATTCTGAGGCCTCCCCAGGCATGTGGAACTGTAAGTCCAATTAAACCTCTTTTTCTTCCCAGTCTCAGGTATGTCTTTATCAACAGCATGAAAACTACTTCTGAAATCTAGGCGGAGGTTCCCAAACCCCAATTCTTGACTTCTGTGCACCTGCAGGCTCAAAACCACGTGGAAGCTGCCAAGGCTTGGGGCTTGCACCCTCTGAAGCCACAGCCCGAGCTCTATGTTGGCCCCTGACAGCCACAGCTGGAGTGGCTAGGATGCAGGACACCAAGTCCCTAGACTGCACACAGCACAGGGACCCTGGGCCCTGCCCATGAAACCATTTTTTCCTCCTAGACCTCTGGGTCTGTGATGACAGGGGCTGCCGCAAAGGTCTCTGACATGCCCTGGAGATATTTTCCCCACTGTCTTGGGGATTAACATTGAGCTCCTCATTACTTATGCAAATATCTGCAGCCAGTTTGAATTTCTCCTCAGAAAGTGGGATTTTATTTTCTATCCCATCATCAGGCTGCAAATTTTCTGAACTTTCATGCTCTCCTTCCCTTTTAGAATTGAATGCCTTTAATAGCACATGTTGAATGCTTTGCTGCTTAGAAACTTCTTCCACCAGATACCCTAAATCATCTCTCTCAAGTTCAAAGTTCCAGTAATCTCTAGGGCAGGGGCAAAATGCCACCAGTTTCTTTGCTAAAAGCTAACAAGAGTCACCTTTGCTCCAGTTCCCAACATGTTCCTCATCTCCACCTGAGAGCACCTCTGCCTGGATTTCATTGTCCATATCATCATCAGTATTTTTGTCAAAGTCATTCAACCGAGTCTCTAGGAAGTTCCAGATTTTCCCACATTTTCCTGTCTCCTTCTGAGCCCTCTAAACTGTTCCGACCTCTGTCTGTTACCCAGTTCCAAAGTTGCTTCCACATTTTCAGGTATCTTTTCAGCAACACCCCACTCTACTGGTACCAACTTACTATATTAGTCCATTTTCATGCTGCTGATAAAGACATACCCTTACATGGTGGTGGCAAGAGAAAATGAGGAAGAAGCAGAAGCGGAAACCCCTGATAAAACCATCAGTCTCAGGCCGGGCGCGGTGGCTCAAGCCTGTAATCCCAGCACTTTGGGAGGCCGAGACGGGCGGATCACGAGGTCAGGAGATCGAGACCAACCTGGCTAACACGGTGAAACCCCGTCTCTACTAAAAAAATACAAAAAACTAGCTGGCCATGGTGGCGGGCGCCTGTAGTCCCAGCTACTCAGGAGGCTGAGGAGGAGAATGGCGTAAACCCGGGAGGCGGAGCTTGCAGTGAGCTGAGATCCAGCCACTGCACTCCAGCCGGGGCGACAGAGGGAGACTCCGTCTCAAAAAAAAAAAAAGCCATCAGTCTCATGAGACTTATTCACTACCACGAGAACAGTAAGGGGGAAACTGCCCCCATGATCTGATCTCCCTTCAGGTCCCTCTCACAACATGTGGGAATTATGGGTGCACAATTCAAGATGAGATTTTGGTGGGACACAGAGCCAAACCGTATCATTCTGTCCCTGGCCCCTCCAAATTTCATACCCTCATATTTCAAAATCAATCATGCCTTCCCAACAGTCCCCCAAAAGCATTAACCCAAAAGTCCACAGTCCAAAGTCTCATGTGAGACAAGTCAAGACTCTTTCAACTATGAGCCTGTAAAATGACAAGCAAGCTAGTTACTTCCTAGATACAATGGGGATACAGGTATTGGGTAAACACAGCCATTCCTAATGGGAGAAATTGGCCAAAACAAAGAGGTTAAAGGGCCCATGCGAGTCCAAAATCCAGCAGGGCAGTCAAATTTTAAAGCTCCAAAACTATTTCATTTGACTCCAGGCCTCACATGCAGGTCATGCTGGTGCAAGAGGTGGGTTCCCATTGCCTTGTGCAGCTCTGCCCCTGGGGCTTTGCAGGGTACAGCCTCCCTCCTGGCTGCTTTCACAGGCTGGCATTGAGTGTCTGCAGCTTTTCTAGGAGCACAGCGTAAGCTGTCGGTGGATCTACCATTCTGGGGTCTGGAGGACGGTGGCCCTCTTTTCACAGCTCCACTAGGTGGTGCCCCAGTAGGGACTCTGTGTGGGGGTTCCAGCCCCACATTTGAAGTGATTCTCCTGCCTCAGCCTCCTGAGTAACTGGGATTACAGGTCATGCCATCGCGCCTGGCTAATTTTTGTATTTTTAGTAGAGACAGGGTTTCACCATGTTGGCCAGGCTGATCTCTAACTCCTGACCTCATGATCTGCCCACCTCAGCCTCCCAAAGTGCTGGGATTACAGACGTGAGCCACCACGCCCAGCCTAGAACACATCTCTACACGGTGGTTTTTATATCCCAGGAGCATATATAGATAGATATGAAAATCCAGATTTTGAAGTGATAGCTTCAAATTCTTAAATGTTAGCACCCAAGTCAAGGTTTTAAAAATACCGTGTGGTGTAGTGTAATGTTAAGAGTTCTTCCTCCAGTCATACAAAAATGCATGTGCTCAGGGTTATTTATGGCAGTACTCTTTGTAATTGCAAAATACGGGAAACAACCTAAATGCCCATATTTAGGAGAGTGACTGAATAACATCCACACAATGGTGTAAAAAAGAATGAGGACAAGCTCCAAGAATTGCTATGAAATGTTTCCAGGACATATTGTTATACCAAAATAAGCAAAGTGCATAAGAGTATAGTTAGCTGCCCTTAATGTAAGGGGGTATAAGAAAATATGGAGGTGTCTCTGCTCATTTGTACAAAAGAAATACACCAGGTACTAAAGGATACACCAGGTACTAAAGAGATGAATTACTTACAGGGGATGGGTGGAAAATGAGGCAGAAAAAAAGAGGAGGCCAGACGTGTATTCCCAGCACGTTGGAAGGCCGAGGTGGCTAGATCACTTTGAGGCCAGGAGTTTGAGACCAGCCTGGCCAACACGGTGAAACTCCGTCTCTACTAAAAATGCAAAAATTAGCTGGGCGTAGTGGCTCACACTTGCAATCCCAGCACTTTGGGAGGTTCAGGCAGGTAAATCACTTAAGGTCAGGAGTTCGAGACCAGCCTGGCCAACATGGCAAAACCTGGTCTCTACTAAAAATATAAAAATTAGCCGGGCATGGTGGTGCATGCCTGTAATCCCAGCTACTCAGGAGGCTGAGGCAGAAGAATCACTTGAACCCAGGAGGCAGAGGTTGCAGTGAGCCGAGATTGTGCCACTCAGTGCACTCCAGCCTGGGTGACAGAGCAAGACCCGTCTC